CACACCCCTAAATGCATTGAAGCAATTGCCATGTGATTGGTTGATTAGATAATTGCATTAATGAGAAATTGAACAGGTGTTCCTAATAATCCTTTAGGTGAGTGTATATGAAAATAGAAATATAAAATTAATGAGTTATGAATTTTAATAGCCTACATACGTTATTGAAATACCCATATATTTCCTGGAGAAACTCACATTTTTCAAAAGACCCTAAAAAGCTGCAGTTTTCTAGACAATTGTGAAAATGAAAGTAGGAGTTCAAAGCATTTTATCACACGGATAACAGTGGCCACACTGAGGTTCATAAATATTTATTAACATGCCCAGAGGGTTCTCAGCCCCTTAACCAGACACAAGCTATGCGGCAGTCCAGGGAGAAGGGAGAAACACACCGGGGGTGCGTTTCCCAAACAACGACGGAAGTTAGCATTAACGATGCATCGTACTATGGTAGTTCAAACTAACCAACATCCGAAGTACGACTTTTTCCCAAAACCGTCGTACCACAGTAATTCTAACCACGTTAGTTAGTTGGGACTATACCGTAGTTCGAACTACAATGGTTCCAGCGCTGATTGGTCAGACTCACGGCGAGTCGTAACAACTAACAAACTACTTTCAAAGCCGGTTGCGTACAAAAACTCATCATATAAATATAAAAATATCATATAAATATATAATACTCACACACACACACATCAATTTATTGCGTCAGTTATATAACACCATTAATATGAAAAATAGCAATCGCGGCAAAATAATGCGACGCTTCTTGGAGTGGTAAACTTTTAGCTATGACACCGCATTTTGTGAAAGACGCTCTATCTGTAATTATGTTGATTGCAGTTCATTGTGTTTCAGTCACACTACGAACACTTACAAATTCCTGGTCCGACGTTCATGCGCTTATAGAATGTTAGTGGCTGACTGGAATAGACAGGTGCGTGTAATATCCAAACATCACAGACGTCATTTCCCGAATACTAAGGCATGGATTCATATCTGACAGCTGTAGTGTTATTCTACTCTTCCATTATGGCGATGACAGCTGTCACTGAATAAGGAGTACTTCATCAAAGTGTTGTACTCTTTTTAAGGCGACTGTTGTCCCTCTTAAGTTATGTGTGTAATGAAGAAACTGCACAACACCCAATGTTCTGCATAGGGCTACAAATAAACACATCTACACATACAAAGGATAATGATTTATTATTTTTGGGTTTTATTATTTTCTTTTTATTTTATTGATGTTTTTTATTATTATTTCTCCTTTTTAAACTATATAAGAACATAAGAACTATACAAACGAGAGGAGGCCATTCGGCCCATCAAGCTCGCTTGGGGAGAACTTAACTAATAGCTCAGAGTTGTTAAAATCTTATCTAGCTCTGATTTAAAGGAACTCAAGGATTCAGCTTGCCCTATGTTATCGGGAAGCCTTTCCCCCATCCTGCCGACCAAGCCAGTCGGTTAAATAAACAC